TTATGCAATTATTCTTATCAAATACAACTCTAAAACCTTTATCACATAATTGACTAATGCTAAGTAAGTCATGCTTTAAACCATCAACTAACAATACATTTTCAATGAGAGTACAAGAGTCATTACCTATAGTACCCTTACCAATTATTTTACCCTTCTTGTTATCACCAAAGGTTACTAAGCCACCATCCTTCTTGGAAAGATTCACAAACTTGGATGGATTACCCGTCATGTGTCTTGAGCAGCCACTATCCAAGTACCACTTATTTTTCTTGGAGGCTTTCAAACAAACCTAAAAACAAGGATATTCAAAATTGACATTTTGGTACCCATACTTGTTTGGGTCCTAGAAAGTTAGTGTTCACAAATTTAGGAATCCATTTCATATTTGCATTCATATTAAAGACATTGTATTTAGATAAGTAACAAGAATAATCTTTATGTCCAAACTTACCACATGAAAAACAAACAACATTATGCAATAATTTATTTCTTGGACTAAATTTGTGTATTCTATTTTTATTCGAAAAATTATTTTCTAAAACATTGTTAAATTTTGTATTTTGAGAAACTTTTCTTCCTAAAGGAATGTTTTGAGAATTTTTCAATTTAAAGCACTTAGGTCTAATATGACCTTCAACACCACAATAATGACATATAGGCACAAATCTAGATTTATCATACTTAGATACAAATTTATTGCTAGATTTAGACAAGATAGGGGATGCTTTAACAAATATTGTTTTAGAACTTGAAGGTGTAGAACATTCATCAATATAGCCTAATCCTCTTTTATCACCATATGACTTACCTCCTTCAAGTATTTTATCTAATTTTTGAGCACCTATTGTTAACATTTTAATAGACTCCTTAGCCCTACCAAGTTCTTGCAAATTATTTGATTCATTTTCTTTGAGCAATTTAATTAATTTATCTTTTTCACAACAATCATGCTCAAGAGACTTGACTTTATCAAGTAATGCATTTTTCTCATCACAATCAAATACATGCTTTTCACAAGGTACATCAATTTTAACAATATTATGATACTTCTCTTTTAAGCAAGAAATTTCATTTAGTAAAGACTTATTTTCAATAATTGAAGTCTTATATTTCTTTTTAAGCACAACATACTTTGAACTAAGTTTTTCTAAATCAATTGTCATCTCATCAACAAGTTTAAATAATTCATGATAAGAAAGAGATTCAAGAGTTACCTCATCTTCTTGTTCATCTTCTTGTTCATCCTCTTTGTCACTATGAGCCATGAAGCAAAAATTTGCTACTTCTTCATCACTTCCACTTGCAATGTCATTACTATCATCCATTTTAAATAGCTCATAATTATGAACTAACATGCTAATTTTTGTTTCTTTAACTTGGTTTGTTCCCTCATGAGTTACTTCAAGAGTTTTCCATATTTCATATGCCGAAGAACACATAGATATTCTATTAAATTCATCATTACTAAGGGCACAATAGAGAACATTTATAGCACTAGCATTAAAAGAACATTTCTTTTTATCATGCTCATCAAATTC